GATCTTGATGACCTTCACCGAGGCTCTCTATCTCTCTTTTTCTCTTTCTATTTCTTTCAATTCACAGAGGCACGCCTCCAACCGCGGATATCCTCCGCGATAATCGACAATCTAACCTCGAGTAGAATCCTAGACCTAATCCTATGGAGGATGAAACTCGCGATATCGAGTCAACGTTAAGATGCTAAACCTAATCTACTCTTATTTCTAATCTTTTCAAACTACGAACCAGCAACGACTACATTTTTAATTCATACATATACATATATACGTATATATAAGTAAATTTAATTCCGTGTTTTATCGAAAACGTGTCTTCTTTATACACGAATACATAATTTGCACGACGCCTGGTTTAAACTTTCTTTTGTTTTCCATTCTATATTTGACAATTCAACACGTTTCGTAGATTCGTTTGTTTTGTTGAAAGGAACTATTTGGAATGATTAATCGGAGGTATATTTCGTTGTCCATGTCGCGACCCATATTCACCCTCCCTCGACATTAGCCACGAGACCACTCCATCAACAGCAACCAGACGACAAGTTTCGTGCTTCTCTTCTCTTTTCTCCACACACACACACACACACACACGCACGCACGCACACACATACATATTCTCTTTTTCTTATCACCCTTGGGACAAGAGAAAACGTCCTTTACACAAATTCGGAATGTTCCTTTTCCAAAATATTCCCTGAACTACCTTTCTCATTTTCACCTCCACCAACTAACATTTCCATTCGCAAGTAGTAACGCAGAAATGTTTTTAGAGATTCCAGTTTGAATGACGGAATAAAACATAAAAAGAAAGAAAACCGATGAAGATCGAACGTGTTCATTCGTTGAAAGCGATTAGAAATGGAGTAGTAGTCGATCGACGAAAGAAACATCTTTTTAAACGTAACGCGTGAGTCTACCACAACCACCACCACCCCTTCCCCTGCGACAACCCTTAGTAAAGAGTAGACTCGACAGTAAAAATAAGAAAGAAAGAAAACACACACTACGAGACGATATTTTAATCGAAAGGGAATACTTAAAAGCCGAACGAGCTAGGCTCTGACGTTTTAATGTCAGCGATCGATCCACCGACATGTCCAATAACTCTACAGAGGACGAGAGAGGGATATAGTAGGGAGAATGTGAACGAGAGGGTCCGATACCCTAGTATTATGCGACGAGGGGCAGTAAATAAGGTACCTTCCTATTTTCTCTCTTTCTCTCTCTCTCTCTCTCTCTTTCTCTCTCTTCCTTTCTTCCTTCTTATTCGTGGCGTAAACACGAAGCGTTGTAGAATACACGGGCATTAGGCGGAGGCAGATCCGTGCAGATTCTGAGAATGCATATAATTAAGCACGCTGCATCTCTTGTTGGTATATACTAGTAAGTGTGTTCATATACGCTTGTGCTTGAACAGAAACACACACACACACACACACATACACACATGTTAAAAACGAACGAGGTAGCCTTTGTATAGCGACTCGTTGGAAAGATAGCGACGCTCGTGTGTGCCTTATATAGATACGAGTAAATATATGCCTAGCCATCGTCGATCCTCTTCTTCCTCTCTTTTCTCCCCTTGAACTCTCGCTCGCTCACCCCCGTTTGCCTCCCGTCGTTTCTCCACCTTTTCTTGCCCTACGTTCCACGGTGATCTATGTATCGGCTTGTGCCCGCCGAACCGGCCAACGTGTGTCCGTACCCCTCGTGCGCGCTTACTTTATTATCGAGCCTCAAATGAGAATTTATGCAGACATAAACGCTCGTGTCAGCGGCGCTACGCGTAGGTGGGGAGACACAACGTTGAGGCAGGCATCTATCACCCTCACCCTCATTCCCCTCCTCTCTAAACTCTCTCTAAAGATGTCCTCAGATACCTCATCCAAAACTTTACCACCACCCTACTATTTCTTTCTTTCTTTCTTTCTTTCTTTCTTTCTTTCTCTTATTCTCAGTAATTCAGCAACCTGAACGAAATGTTCTCTCCTCGTATCTTCTTTTTCCTTTGAGCTTTCGACTCGGAAAAAAGAGTTACTGAAATTCGAGCTGGGTTCCTCGTTTTCGCGAGAAAACAAGACGACGTGGTATCGTAATTCGGAGCACGTTCGATCCATTGAGATTAAGTTTCCGTTAGATCGATACAACCTTCTACAACGTTGTCGATCGATTTCACCGAGTAAAGCTGAAATTTACACGTATTTAAATCTCCATTTGTAACGTTCACGCGAGAATGAGTGAGAAAGAGAGAGAGCATACGTTAAATTATTTTCCGTGTGAGATTCTTTGGTCTCGGTTGCAACGAATGAAACGTAGCATAAAAAAAAACAAAAATATCAAAGAGAATACGATATCGTAGAAAGCGTAAGATACTACGAGAACTTCGACGTATGAAATTTAAAATTTGAAAACGTCCTCCTTTAACAATCCGAAGCAAAAGAGAGCAACGTTCTGAATATAGCGAAGCGTGGGACTAGATGGCCCAAGTTTAGACTCGTAAATAAATGTAAAATACGTGAGGATATCAACTCTGACTCACATTTGGATAAATAGCAGGACATTCGAGA